GTTGCCAGGTAGTTGAAGGAATGGGGAGATGTAGGTCAAAGGATACAAACTTTCAGTTATGAGTTAGTTTGGGGGATCTAATGTATAGCCTGGTGACTGTAGTTAACAATATTGTATTCTAAACTGAAATATGCTAAGGAGGATAGATCTTAAATGTTCTGACCACATACACACAAAAGATAACTAAGAAAGAGATGAATGTGTTAGCTAGTCTTGTGGTAATCAGGTCACAATATATATGTATATCAAATCATCACACTGTACATCTTAAACTCACATAGTGTTTTTTGTTAATTATATCTCAGTAAAGGTAGAAAAAAATTTTTGAAAAATGTAAGAGTAATCAAATTTTCCAACTTTATAACGAAACTTTACACATAAAAATTTTTAACTTTTCAATTTGAATTAATTGGTCTTCCAGTTTTGATTTCCTATAGGTCTATATGCAGTGAGAGAATCCAACAGATGCTATTATTTTAGTCCCTCTGATGTTGCTGTTTCCCTGTACAAATTAGTAAGCTGATACTTTGGATTCTGTAAGCTTGTGACTTTGTTAATTATGAGCTCACCCTATAAAAATGGATGTTATTTTCCTGTATGAGGATATTAAGCTTCTGAGCTGGCATGATTGAGAGACAGATATTGTGGACTCTTTAAAAAAGTCATCTAGTTAAGGAGCACCATCATGGAAGGCTTCTTGAAGACCTCCAGGCTTTGGCAACACAGAGACATATTCTTTGACCTGTCAAACACACTTCCATTTTGAAACTCCAAGAGAATTTCAAAGGAGTTATATGAGAATATCAGTATCCCTTAGCCACAATCAATTTAATGATATAATATTAAAGATAAGATAAAATGATAAAAATTAATTAGAGTAACCATGTATGAATTATGACTATTATATTTCAGATAATCCACAACATTTATTATAACCTGTAATAAGCAAACCTGTATGTTTCTAACACTAGAGAGAATTTACTTCAGAAACACATTTGAAGATAACTCCATATATTACAAGAGACATCAGAAACTATTGGAGTAGGGGCATATTATTTAATAACTGATACTGGTATTATGTGGAAACAATCCATTTCCATTTCCCTCTACATATTAGAAGTCAAAATTCATTCTAGGTAAATGAGTGTTTATTTTTCCTTATCCTCCCACCCCTCTTGAAATATTTAAGATACCTAATCTTCCTGGAATTTGTTCATGTGTATTGGGATATAACCTTATTTGTTTTCCCAGATGATTAGCTAATTATTCTAACACAATTCACCAAATGTGTAGAAAAGAGTTAACATAGCAGACATGGGACCACTAGCCTTAGAAAGGCCTTCTTGCAAGGTTAGCCTTTGGCTGGATTCTGTTAACCTGGATTTGAAGAAGGTTTCCACCATTCCCAGAACTGATAAGATTGGCTCACTATGCCTAAACTCTTTGTGCAAACAATATGCTTTATGCTAAATTCTTTCTATCTAGGAGTCTAGAATTTCAGTACATGCTAGGCAAAGGGTACCATACCCCACTCTCCCCCACATTTTGGGCACTGAGAATCTAATAAACTTTCTTGATAAATAACATTTCACACATGTTGTCATAAATTGTTGTTAGAGGAATTAAGTGTATTCTGTGGGACTCCACTGGGAGAGGACTCTTGGAAGCTTGCACCTGATTTCTTTGGAACTTTGCTTCATGCACTTTTTCCCTTCGCTGATTTGGTTTTGCATCCTTTTGTAATAATTCATAGCTGTGAGTACAAATGTACATTGAGTCTTGTGAGTCCTGCTAGCAAATCACTGAACCTATCAGTGGTCTTGAGGTCCCCTGGCACACTGAATGCTTCACTTTTCTCTATGAATCTGAACTGTCACTCTAATATAAATGCCCACATATATGTGGCAATATATGGGCTCTCTATCTATATTCCATTTAACTTTTCCTGAGTAGTTCTACTCTGTTTTACCAACTATAGCCTGAAAATTTTTTAAAATCCCTGGTGAGGCAAATGCTTTCCAACTTCCAAATTATGTTTCTTTCAAAATTCTCTGGACTGTTCACAGGTTTGTGTGTATATAAAAACTGATAAGCAGTTCTTGAACCTATAAGAGTCTCTAAATTAAAACCTCTAAAAGGCAAATGGGAAAAGCTTACACATACTCTTCTCACAAAAAGAAAATCCAACTGGCTAACAAATACCTGAAAGTAGGTTTAACCTCATTAATAATATCAAACAACAATGCAATATCATGTTCCCCAATTCCATTAGCAAAAGACTTAAAAATTTTGTTGCTAGGATTATAGACGTATTAAAAACTATATCTAAAACTATTCAGCCTACAGCCTCATCCCAAAGGAAGAAGTCCTTGCTTGACTCTTGAGTAAGGCATGACCACTGGACCAGCACTGGATATCTGAAGGTGAGGGTTTATAGAGTTGGTTAAAGGGATCAGGAGTGTCACTCTGAAGGGGGTAGATGGCCTTCTAAAAAATCTTTGAAGAACGGATGGGCCTTTGACAGAGATTACAGGGGGCTGGGGATGACTGAAGGAAGGGACAAGTGAGTGAGAAAGTTGAACCCTCCAGTTGCAAGGAACTGTATGAACAAGCTGTGGTGCAGATGATGAGCGTGAACGCCTATTTTTTTAAAATCTATAAAATGATATATAATGTATGTTCTGCCTTAAAAGGCATTAGTTAAAAAGGGTTTAAAGGCAAGTTGTAAGGTATCTTCAAGTTACAGACATTCTCTATGTTATACAAACTCTTCCTGAGACTAGAAAAAGAACAAAAGCTATCCCAACTCATTTAATGAGACTTACATAACCTTGAAACTATGATGAGAAAACTACAGCATAAAAAATAAAATTATAGGCCAATCTCACTCATGATGAAGAAAGAAAAAAACTTGGCAAGTTGAGTCTAGCAGTGTATTAAAAAAAACAATAACAACAAAAATGTTGTGATAGAATGTCAGAGATAGGCATATCCACAATTACAGTCAGATTTCAGCACCTCTTAATAGTGAGTAGAAACAAAATAAGAAAAGATATACAATTGAAGACCTAAACAAGATTATTAACCAACTAGACCTAATTGACATTTATAGAACAACAGTTCACAGGACAACAGAAGGATACACATTCTTTTCAAGTGCAACTGGAATATTTACTGAGATAGACCATATTCTGAGCCATAAAGAAAGTCTCAATAAATTAAAAGGATTTTGGTCATACAAAGTGTATTCTCTGACCACAGTAGGATTGTGCTTAGCATTGTAGAACTACATAACTAAAACATATCTGGAAAAGCCTCAAATACTTGGGAACTACATAGCATACTTCTAAATAACTCTTGAATCAAAGAAGAAACTAAAAAAGAAGTTAGTATGTAATTTCTATTGAAGAAAAATAAAAACACAACGTCAAAATTTGTGGGATGTAGCTTAAGCAGTATTAGAGGGAAATTTACAGTACTAAAACACCTATATTAGAAAAATAATGATCTCAAATGACCTCAGCTTCTATTTTAAGTAGATAGAAACAGAATACTAACAAACACAAAGTAAGCAGAAGAAAAATAGTAAGAGCAGAAACCAGTGAAATAGAAAACAGAAAAACAATAAAGAAAATCAATAAAATGAAACATTAGTTTGTTGAGGTCAATAAAATTGATAAGCCTCTAGCCAGAGTGATAAAGAAAAACAAAAGAGAAGACGTTAGTACTAACATCAGTAATGAGAGAGATGACATCACTAGATATTCTGCAAATATCAAAAGCATAATAAGAAATTGATTGTCAAGGCTGTAGGGAAACAGGCAACCCATATATTGCTGGTGAAAATGAAAATTTGTAATACCTCTTTGGAGGGATATTTGAGAATATCAAATAAAATTACACATGCACTTATCATTTGACTGACTATCCCCACTTCTAGGAATCTACCCTGAAGGTATACCTCTAGCCGTAGAAAAATTACATTTGCACAAGGTTAGTCTTCCAGCACTGTTCGTAACCACAAAATATTAGAAAAAAATACCCATATATAGGAGAATGATTGAAACAAATTATGGTAGTGACACAATGGAGGATTATGCAGCTGTACAAAAAAAGCAAATTGCTATGCACTAATTGGCTTCAAATCTGTAAAATGTGCAAATAGAGAGGGTTAATAGGATGTGTAAAATTTGTTTTTCCTGACTACATTCCCCTAAGAAGACTTAGATATCCTGTGGATGTCTCATAGAGCTGAGCTCTGACCAAAATGGATTAGCACAAATAAGGGAGTGCCACTAAGGATAGATGCAAATCACCAAGTCAAAAGCATTGGCCATAAAAAAAACAAGGAAAAAGAGCCCAGACTGTGGAGCAGAATCTGAGATCATTCATGAAGCAGTTTTTGTAGGTGGTTCCCAGAGGCCCAAAGCACCTAGATTCCCTCCTCCTGAGTCTATTCTCTCTTCTTCTCTAGAGCTGCCTAGATTGAGGTTTATTCCTCTCTTGCAGCTCCAGGCAGCTGGAACCTTAGAGTAAAAGTCAATCTTGTTCCCCTCTCATTCCCCCCACCCACGGCTACCTCCTGTCATTAACTTTTCTACAATATTAAACTGAGCCATCCTCACTGTCTGTAAGACAGACAGACAGGACAGTGAGCACCAACTAGGTGGGAGGAAGGTAGTGTAGCTCACAGTTCCCATCCTCACACCTGCCTTTCCAGAGCCAGCGCCACGAGTGTACACAAATTGGGTGTTCACGAATTGCCACTTCACCGTTCCCTGTCTCTGGTCACCCCTGAAGCCAACTCCCTCCACGTGTCCACCTCCCCCACCCACACAGAGAAACACAGATTCACACTGCGCTGGGCGGGGAGCCTGGGGTGAGGGCAGGGGTGTTCGGAAGGCAGGGGAGAGAGACAGAGGGTCCGAGGCACTTTCTGCACCCGGATCTAGTCTCAGCCAGCGCCCCTCACGGATGCCACTTCTCGGCCTCGAACCTACCTCCTCCAACAGCGACGGCCGTTTCCCTCCACGAAGGCCTCCCGCGGGATGACTTCCTGCGTCTGGAGCTCCTGGACAAAAACAGACCCCGGCTAAGACGCTCGCGATTGGCTGAGGGACTGTATCCTCTCCCAACAAGTGCCGTAATTCTGGGCGCCCGAGGGATTCGTTTTCAGGCTAGTGCAGCATGCAGACCCCCACCCACACACCATCACATCCTACCACTCCTCCCACGGCCGTCCGTCAATCGTCAGGTGTAAGTCCTTCCTGTCCCTTTGCAGCTGAGCGCGACACACCTCCACGCCCGTCCAAGGGACAGCGCGGTCACGTGACCCGCCGTCAGCCCCACGTGACCGCGCAGGCCGCTTGTCTGCCGCAGCCCTGCAGCACCGATGGCAGTCTTCTGCCTCTGGGCTCGAGCTGCTTGCTAGAACAGTCTGAAGCTCCTGACCGTGCTGAAGATACAGAGCTGGAAGGAAGGCTGGGCCGGAGCCAAGCTTCCAGCCCTAGGCTGGGCCTTGCTCTGTAGGAGCACAGGGCTGGCGACGAACGCTCGATGAGGAGTTTCGAGACAACTGACTTTCAGTACTGATTCTGTATAAAACTCGGGTGACATAATAAAACACTCCCGGGATCTGTCTTGAGAAATATCGATAGGCAAAACTCGCATTTCCACCACTGGGATGATCTCTATTAACACCTGTGGTTTGTGAAGAGAGGCAAAACTGCCACTTTGCCCTACTTCCCTGAACCTTGCACCCTAGAATC